GCTCTTTTCGAACGTTGAATGAAACTTCAAAGCACAAAGGACTACTGAGATTTACAGCTAATCATGGTCTTGTCACAAGTGAAGGGACGTTTAATTTTTAATGAATTCTAAATATATCGCTAGTAACTAAACTAGAAACAATATCCAACAAACTTTCCTTTCACCTATCCACAAAATGTTGATAAATGCATAGCAAGAAATACTGGTTCCAACTCTTAAGCCGAAGAAGTAAATAAAATTACCTTAAAAACATCCGGATATCATTAAATTCAATAAACAGTCTATTTTTAGAACTGACTTTCAAAACAAATCAAAACAAACGCTTTGAAACTTCCCCGTGGACTTTCGACTGTTTTTCACCGGCACGAAGATTACCCTTTAGACCATAAAACCGTCAAAAGGTGTTGGAAAAGACAACTTTTAATATTTGAATTACTTCTAGCCGTCATACCTAAACTATTTAACTGTCATAACTGCTAGTCCAGATAACAGCTTTGGCCAGTAGAAAGTTTAGAGCTGCCCTATTTTTTTCACCTAAAGATGCAATTTAGCCTAATAAGTTTTGTCACGTTTTCGGACTTTCTTATTAAATGCTGGTATTTTTCCGTCTTTGGGTAACCTCTATATCAGATAACTACATTCACAATCAGCGAGAAATTGTTGAAAATAACACCTATTGATTCAACGTAATCCTAGTAAATTTATGCTCGCCGTTTAGTTAACTTGAAAACAAATTATGACTCTCCAACCAATCTCTCTCTCCTCAGCTCTAAATTATAGCACCTGGTAAGAAGAGTTAGTTAAAAAGAAAGTGCTTTTAGCTGAAATGCAATATTCTTTAAAAATTCCTATCTTACCTTTGTATTTGATGCAGCTGCTTAAGGGACCAAGGCTCAAAGCTGTAACTTTACATATAAAGTATCTGCTCTAGATCTAAGACCAATGTTTTGTAGTGTCTGAGATTGAGCGCTGATGAATTATATTCATGGCCTAACGGCTGGACTCGCCACCAGCTGATGTTTAATTACTAATGATTTCAAATTATGTCATTGGGATGGCTGATACAGGTATTGCTATGGATAATTAGCTGTTTAAGTGCTCTTCTTTTTAGTGTACTTAATGGATTTTTTATGCTTCATCCTACTTGTATCGATTTAGTTGTTCTACGTTTCATTGATTGAAGTTCTTTCATAATCTGATGGCTGGCATGCGATAAAATTTACTCTACGAAGCCGACAATCCACCGCTTCGATCTTGAAAATTAAACGAACCCATCAACACGATAAGCCACGATGACACTCAAGGGTGACTTCATAATTATTACGGTCATTGTCATTAATTTTTAAAGCGAGAGTGCTCGGAAGCAAAATGTTAGGGTCCAAATTTATTCTTTGTTTGACATTTTTCGATCAATTTTCATTTACCTCTTTTTTCACGAGATGCCGATAACAAGACAAGACAAGAAGGATAAAAGTAAAATGGGTTATTGTACAGTTACCCGAGATGTGAAACTGAGAGCAAAGCGTTCATCAAGTCGGGCCAATTAGCTAGTTTTTTAAGCTCGTCTTTAAAGCGCTAAGATAAGCCAAGTACAAGTTAATTGACTTCGTTTTGTGGTCCAACTGAACAACTAGTCGACGTTTGTTTCTCTCCCTTTTACAACCTCATAACCAAGAAACTAAATTAAGGCGAGCTTGGAGGTCAAAAATCTTACAGAACAAAGTCCTTATCCTCTTTTGACAAAAGGTAACGCTTTTGTAAACGATTCCCCTCTGCTTTTCTATTTTTTGACCATAATTACCATTGCTAATTGCATGTAAGTAGAGATGCTTAAAGGTGTCTGAAGAACCCTTTTTTCCCACCAGCACCTCTGCGAATATGTAGGTGCACCAGGCGTACCTTTTTAAAAACTTAAAAGCTTTTTAAAGAACTTTTTTGAAAGCATATGCATTGAGGGGGAGGAGCGCTGCATTGTTGGAGGGATCTTTTCGCTTTTATTCTGCCGTGACAGAGCCAATTAACATGCATTAGTTATACGAGATGGCCAAAATAGGCAGACTGACCACTATAAACTAATTATCATTTTGACGGACTTAAGAGTCATTAGTGAGATTCTGATTCAGAAGTTTTAAACATTGTC